AACAACTGACACCACCACCACCACCTCCTCCGACTCCTGCGATGAGGAACAGGACTACGCCTGCCCTCACTGCGACCGCACCTTCACCGCACACATCGGCCTGGGAGGTCACGTGCGAATCCATCGCACAGAGACTGGCGAACTAGTGCCTGGAGCACCAACCTATACTCACCATGCTCGACTCAACTGCCTACACTGCCCTCACGCCTTCAGGCATCGCATGGGCCTATTCGGCCACATACAGGGCTCCATAATCGCTTCAACCCCTCTTCAGGCTCATGTTCTCTGCCATGCTGACGGACGTATACAGCGATGATCTCTCTGGGGTATGCATCGCCTACGGAACCGAAAGGTATATTCTCAACAGCATGCGCATGCAAGCACCCATCCCAGCTATCTGCAACGTCGATGTATGATCTGCTCTTCGCCGATGACTGCGCTAACAACAACCCGACCGAGGTGGATTTTCAACGCAGCATGGACCTCCTCGCCGCCTGGTGCGCCAACTTCGGCCTGACTATCAACAAGGAATAACGGCGGTCATGCACCAACCGTCACCCAACACGCAATACTGCACTCCTCCTCGAACCACTATTTACGGCCACCAATTCAGAACCGTTGACATCTTTCCTTACCTCGGAAGCACACTTTCGAACAGCACCGGGATAGAAAATGAAGTTATCCACCGGATCTCCAAAGCCGGCCAACCCTTTGGCCGACTTCAGAACTCCGTGTGCAATCCGCAGGGCCCCCAACTGAATACAAGACTAAAGTTGTACAAGGACGTCGTCCTTGCGACTCTCCCTTCTCTTCTCCAGGCCGGGCTGTTCTGGGTGAGTTACTTTTGGGTCCAAGGGTTGATATGCAGTCGCTTCAGAGAAATCTTCAAAGTACCCTTGCACCTCGGTCGGCGAGCACCCGTCGCGACATCTTTGATTGGCGAGCGCCGTCCATTCTCACTAGATGGCCGCTCCGTCGCATTTGCAGTTGCCCCAACATGTTCTGAATGTTGTAGATTCCGGTCCGTTTAAGGACGTCTGTGTCGGGATCCCGTCTTGTCATCACAGCGACCAGCTCCGCCAACACCACGACGTTCCACACTCCCCGCGACGATGGGGCGACGTCTGACGCCCCATCACCTGTTACCATCACCACCAGCACTCCCAACTCCAGCGATGTGGACTCCGTTCAGCCACGTCCTCATTGCGATCGCGTATGCACTGCACACATTGACCTGGTCGGTCACTTGCAAATCCGTCGCTCGGAGGCTGGCGAACCAGTGCCTGGAGCACCCACATACCCTCGCCGCATCTGCCTCAATTGTCCACACTACAGTCGCGCATTCAGTCAAATCATGGACCTATCCGATCATATGCGTATCCACGAAAAACTGCGGTAGATTATCGCCGGCTACACCACACCATCTTACTTCCCCCCACCGGCATCAACACCTTCCAACAGCGTTACCACAGTGTTCTGGTTTGGGAGGTAGAGGTAGTGCGGTAGATGCTGCGCAAGTGCACACTCATTATAAACTAATTTACGTGCAATTCACCGTGGTGTGGGGCACACGGTGGACCTCGTCGGATGCGACTGTCGAACTGTCAGACGGAAGAGGAGTATTAGCAGTGGTGATGGTAGTAGTAGCAGTAGGAAGAGTAGTAAATTAGTAGTAGTAGTAGTAGTACTAGTGGAAGCGACAGTTGCGGAATTAGCCTTAACAGTATTATTATTATTATTATTATTATTATTAGTAGTAGTAGTAGTAGTAGTAGTAGAAACAGTAAAAGTAGTAGCAGTATATGCGACGGAAATATTTGAATTTTTAATAGTTGCTTATGAGTTATCGCTATAGTCGCTCAATTAATAGAATGTTGAGGTCTCTTTTACCATTTGGGCCACTCGATATGGCCGTCCTGATGTGCATTGGGGCCCAGCAGTCGTCCAATAACCATAAATACAATCGAGGTCAAGGGAGACGGTAATGGCTACTGCTGGTTTATTAACCGCCGTCAGCCAACATTACCCAGCACCAGGAGTGCAGAACCCAAAACTCCAACACACGTTATTCGATCATCGAACGTGATCAAGTCCAACAAACCGTCCACTGAGCCACGGACAGGTGGCCTGTCAGTTGCAATCGGGAATATAAGCTTGTGTTAGAAGCACGTCCACCGAACAGATTAAGGTTTTACTTTTCCATTTGCAATTTCGGACTCACGTTAGACCTTGTCGTTGTTGTGGTTCCTGTAGTTATTTTTTGTTATTATTATCATTATTCAGAGGTATTTTAGCAGATGTCAAATAAATCACTTTGAACCATGTGTGAAATACTCGGTACCTCGGCGTGATTCGAATAAAACGGCAGCAAGGTGAAGATCTAGACCAGCCAACGCTCTAAATACCTGTTATTGTTGTTGTCGCTGTGTCCCTACTATTACCCGGCCACAATGTCCACACAGGCATTACGCCCTCTCAAACGAATGCCTTAAAGAAAGAGATGCTGTGGTTAGACCTGACAGAATTTTCCCCACAGGTCAGCTTTTTACGTCGTCAGAAAGAACCCCTGAACTGTCCATTAATAGGACATGCCATGACCTCTTCGAGACGCTATGAAGGTCATCTACCGCCATGACAACTGTCTAGACTACCGTCAGTTGCGTTGCCCTCCACTCCCCGACCCAACACCGAAGGACACAGACTAAAGATCTTGAAAGAAGACATTGACAAGAAATATAGGCGAAGAATGTTTATTGGGGAACAATTAAAGAAGAAATCAAAATCGACGTGCGCTTAATAAAGTGGCAATTTCCAGATTAAAATCATAAATCACTATGTACACATTTCGGATGTAGAGAATCACAAAAAGGAAATCATATATGATAGGCAGATGTGCAAAGGAATGGATGGTAGAGTTCAATCAACCTGAACAATAAATAAATCGAACTATGTACATGAGCCCAACAAAACAGTGCAGCCACTAGGGGAGATAATGGGGCTGGAGAGGGTGGGGGAAATGAAACGGGTGAGGGGACGATGAGAGGTGGGAGATGCGGAGTAATTAGTCTCCGTGAGTCCGATTTGAGCAGCAGAAGACTCTCCGGAGTGCCCTCAGCACTCTGCCTCCAAACCGGATTCTGGGCTACAAGGAAAGTGAGAGAGAGAGAGAGTCAGGCGAGCAGAGCGTATCAAACTAACGCGCACAAGTGACTTTTGGGATATGACATACCCTCCGATCCCCCTGTGGGTTACTTCGGGACAGCTTTTCAAACCCGTTCGGCAGGCCTACAACTGAAGGTGGATAGGAACATTAGGTGGATCGAAGGGTTATCAGTGCAGAAATAAGCTGACCAACCAACAGAGATTTGGTCAGAAATAGACATTTCTTCAATGTGATCTTACCTTCTCCCTGATCACTGCAATCCCCAGCTGCCGTCACCACATCTGCACATTGAGATGCCTGGGAAACCCCATTCTCGCTAAGATATCTGTGATAATCACCTGAGGCGTCACACTCGGAGGCGTCGACTTGCGAATGGCCAAGCGAATCCTCCACAGAAGGAGTAGCCTGGACCGCGGCATCCCTTTTGGGCCTGGATGACCAAGGCAAGTCATAAATGGATGAACTTATGTCTTGCGACGTATCATCCGATCGCCTGGTGTGCTGGTGCCGCCAATGAAACACCATCAGTACTCCCAAAGAACGTAAGGGTGGATGAAGATGCAGCGAGCAGGTCTGCTGATGTGCCATTGTTGGCCGTCGTTGTGGCACCCGCATGCGGGGCATGTCCAGATGTGGGCTTGGAATATGGCGAAGGTGGTGCGTACAACGAATGGGAGATGACGACCGGGAGTACCTGCTCCCTCCCTCCTCCTCCTCCTCCTCCTCCTCCTCCTCCTCCTCGTCCTTCTCGTCGTCTCCATCGTCACCATCGCTAACGGCAGTGGCATTAGTGGTGACATTAAGGGTTCTTCTGCTGCTGCTGCTGCTGATGCCGCTGATGCTGCTGAAGCTGAGGCTACTTGTGTTTGAAATGACGCTGGCGGTAGCGATTCTGTCCTCTCGGCTAATCTCTTCGCGTTTGCTGCTGCTGCTGTTACTACCACTGCTGCTGATGCCGCTGATGCTGCTGAAACTGAGGCTACTTGTGTTTGAAATGACACTGGCAGTAGCAATTCTATCGTCTCGGCTCGTCTCTTCGCGTTTGCTGCTGCTGCTGCTGCTACTGCTGCTCTCAGTGGCGGAGGTGACGATCGTGATGGCTGAGCTGTAAGATCTCGGCAAAGAGGAGACATCTTGGTCAGAGGAGACGGAAACAGCAAGGGAACCGGAACTGTCCACTGCGCTTGAAATGTTCTCGGAGAGGGATTGAGTCGGGGTGGTAATGGGGGTGGGGGTGGCTAAAAGACGGAAAGTACATTAAGATAAGGAGTATGAGCTATTTTTATCCTCCCGACGCCTGAAATGAATCCTGCCTATCTCCGTTGGATCCAAAACTCACTTCTGAAATGTGGCGCATCTACGCTACCATGCGGACACTTCGTGTTAGCATATGCGCATCTTGAATAGAGCGAGAATCTATCACAACTATTGTCAGGAAACAACGCAGTCACTTCTCTAAATCTACTTCCTGCGATGTCTGCAACTAGAATTAATCCTTCTGGTCCCGCAGAAAACACCTAATGCCAACGGATAGTTCAATTATTTCTCTTCTCTCTCAAACACACTAGCACACAGAGAACGGTTTTCCTATTATCAACTACATCTTTGAAACATTGCATGGTCTTAAACTGCGTTGCGTTGGTAGCACATAGCTTCACAAAATGACTACTAAATAGATCTTTGCCGCAAAATTTCGGAAACATCTACATCAGCATCCTTGGAAGTCGATGGCTGCTGGCTAACCCCTCAGTTGCACAGGACGGCCTAATTAAAATTTAACTGACAACCCTGCCACCAGTTAGAAAGGTCTTCTGTGTATTTGCCACTAAGTTTGTAAGCAAGGAAGTAAAACGGCCCTATAGGATGTCAGGTCCTAACTGGGCTCCATTCGCCCAAAGAACACATAATACATCAGTATTAAGGAGGTGAAGTGAATGAATGTGGCACTTGCCTGCACTGTCTTGTGGGCGTAGACTCTCCTCGGCTGCATCTCGTAGATGTGGAGGTCCTAGGTAGTCGGCCAAAAGGCGAAACGCGAATACCGTGAGGAAGTCAGGCGAGCTCGACATTGTCGACGGCGTTAATGACAGAGGCTTTGCTTTCGAATCTGGGCAGCATCGATTAAATGCATAATGTCTCCTGAAAATCGATTCCGCCGTCGGTGAGGCGCCGACCTCGGTTAAAGTGCTAATACTGACGTTGGCCCAGAATCCGCAAAAGTCTCATTTGCCTCAAGTACCGATGAGAGCATTACAATTTACAGATGTTGCGCGATACTGTTAGGAGGATGATCCCTAATATTTGAGGGGAAGTTGATACCATACTAATAGCACATGTTCAGTTCAGTTTACTTGAGGGAATTATAGGCGTTGAACCTTTCCACTCCCTATTTTTTACGAGTCAGCGAACCATATCAAATATTTGAAAATGGAAACATCAAACAGCTACAGAGTTTCTTCAGATCGACAAAGTTTTCGAAACCAGACAGATGAACGTATTGTTCCAAGAGTTAAAAACATTAGCGTTACTAAATGTGCTGTACAGTAGTCTGTCTATGGATGGTTGGTGCTATCCGAGTCTCTGAGGGAGACGAATTAAACGCCAAAACACATTCAACAGACACGGGACAATAATAAAAAACAAACGTTACTGAAATACAGGCGTTAATATAAGAACATAAATAAACTGTTTGAACGAAATGCTAGACGATATCGGCCTCATTAGCCTCAAGTACCGATGAGAGCATTACAATTTACAGATGTTGCGAGATACTGTTTGGAGTCCAATTCAAAATATGGCAGGTTTTACTTCCCCACCTCAGAAATAACGGTACTCAGTACACAATTATTAAGTATGCCTGTCTAGTAAGACGTCATATGCTAACTCGGTAAGACGCCACCTCAAAATGCGCACGCCTAGTCTACGAATTTGTTAAATTACCATTGTCAGTAGTCTGTGAACCATGTAAGTGAGTGAGACAAGTGAGTGTTGATGGAAATGAGGAGTATATGTACACAATTTTCAATGGGGACGGATGTTAGAGGAATTCGGTAGGAGACAGAGGAGAGACTATCCAGTAGGTATTGTGAGGGGGAAATCGTACTTTACCGGCTTCTCGCTTTATGAAGGAGAAAGGCACCCTAATATGTTTCGAAAGTCGTAATTACCGATCTACATCTATAGTCAGGCAGATACTGTCGGGAAGATATCCACTGCTGCCATGACTGATGGAAGATAGATTGAATTTCATGAAATTGTTACAAAGGACGATGTCCAGTGGTAATCAATGGCTTTTGACAGTCTTGGTGCCAAAAACGGCCACAATGAAGATATTTAAACACTTTGATCCATTCGTAATTTTGAATGTTGGGCAGATAGATGCCTCGAATGATATTTTATCAAGTGTTCGTCTGTACTGATTTGCTTACTGGCAAGCGAATAAAGCATATGTTCTGGACCCTGCTTAGCAGTAGACTACCTGTCATTTTGAGGATGCTGCAAGCACTAAATGCGATGACAGTTCAACAGCGCTAGCAGGAGCAAGTGGGTAGTATGGGTACTGTTTACAATGCCAAATTAGTAGAGTTGTCTGTGCAACCTCTGTGTGTGAACTCCTTCCTGCATTTCAAACATTCGGAGACATTGACAAGCACAAACGCGTAGTGCTGCAGACTATGCGATTTCGAGGCATTTGCAGGTTCCGTTTCCCAAGACATGTTAGGCTCCTATAACTGTACTAGATGAGGAGAATCAAGTCAAACTGAGAATGTTGCAAACATCAAGTGGAATGACACAAATGCACAGGCGACGACTGTACGACGAATGCAAGCATGCCTGAATGCAGAGGGCGTTAATCAGGGTGCTCAGTGTATCACCTATATCACCTACATGCGGCCGCGACTTCCCAAAGTGACCTAGATGCCTTATCTCTGGAACTTCATAGACCGGTAAAGGCTTGAACACTGATTTTGGATGACGCTCCAAAGCTTAACGTCATCAGCGAACATGGTGACATCAAAATTCACTTCATCGACGCCGTCTTTGACGTATATAATGAACAGCGTAGGTTCAAGGACGGTATCTTGCAGAACACATTTTTCAACCGCTACCTCTGCTGACTGCCTGTCACCGACATGGACAATTTGAGAGCGACCGATCAAGAATCTTTGGATCCACCTCAAGAGATTACCCCCAATGTATATTCGGCTTAATTTGTACAGGAGACGCTGATGTGATACACCACCGAAGTCGACCTAGTATGCGTGCTCTGCATTACTGCCATCAACTTCTGGATCCAGCGTCCTAAACAATAACGTAGGTACGCCGCGTCCCGAGGATTAGTCTCTTAACTAGGTGACTGTGTGCCTTGTATGCATTTATCCACACAGAGCTCCTGTCCTCCATAATTTCCGCTTTTTATTGAATTCTTTTCTTAGCTTGCGTTAGCCAGGAAGGTCTGTTGCTCAATTTCCTCCGGCAAATAGGAGAGTGGTCTCTGGGAATAACGTGCAATAACTCACTAAAGCAGTTCCAATCCTTGATCATGCCACCGGAACGAACTGATTCCCAGTTTATGGTGTTAAGTTAAGCTTCCATTTGGGCAAAGCCGCCGCGCCAAATGTTCCTTCTAATTCTCGTGTCCTGTTCGGGCAGAGAAGGATGGAGTGCTGTCACAACAGTACTACGTGGTCGCTTCGACCTAAGGGAGGTAGACACTGCAACTCATCGATGCTGTCTAGCGACTTCGTAAGGACCAGATCCAGACAGTTTGTCCGTTGCCCTTCGCGCACCCTCGTCGGAAATTAGACGTGTTGAGTGAGAAATAACCTGAGCTTTATGTCCAAAAAACGTCGTTGGAAAGTATGGTCTGGACCAGATGCATAGGCTGAACACCGGTCAACATGAGGTGCATTGAAGTCTCCCGTGATTAAGATCTCGGACCGAATAGAGAACCTCTCCAGGTCCTCAATCAGATGGACGTAGTTCGTGGGGTGATTTCTCGGCGGTCGGTGGACTGTCAGGACGTCGAGGCTTGGTGAACCCGGGGCTTTTATAGATAGCCAAATTGCCTCGGAAGTACACGCAAAGTTATCTGTTTTATCTGAGACTATAAGCCCATGTTTTACATACGTGAGTACGCCTCCTCCCTGACGTTCTCTCCTGTCTCTTCTAAACTGCCGGTATCCTGGTATAGTTAAATCACGATTGTCCACCTGTGAATTCAATCACGTTTCTGCAAGCTAGATTACATCCGGGGATGTATCTTTAAGTCGTCTAGGACTTCCGATAACATGCTGTACTCGACGTAAGCCATAATGGTAATTGCTTTTGGTACACAAGTTGTTATGCCCCAACCGACGTCAATGGTTAGACCTAATGAACCCACGGTAACTGTCAATGGCAATGAACCCACTTAGGTAGACCAATACTCCTTCCTAGGAAACAGAGTCTCTCTGACCACTAAGCTGAACGAGTATGCCTCTGTCCGGACATCTAGACCTGGCCAGACAATTGCCAATCCACAGATCGAACTAGAAACTCGGGGAAATGTGACACAACGTCAAGTCATTCTGACCAATTGCAAACGCCTGATGTCCTTGTCGCGTAAACATCTGTCGTGAAGTTTTCGTCCTCAATACGTCCGGGGAATGACATCTACCACCAACAACTTGGTTCTATTTACTAGGGGCACACTTTCCTGATAGGAGTGAAATGTACCACAATTATAAAATCGCAAGCAAACATGGAACATCAGTTAAGGACAACTATAGACAACTAACTTGTGGTCACATTACGCAGACAATTCGATTAATTAGGTCTGTCGCGTAGCCACCAATCAATTGGGATCTTCCAAGAAAAAGACCGACGACAATGCAGCCTGTATGTAAGAATGCACTGTGGAGTGAAGACGGACGAGCTAATATGTGAAAGGGTCCAAATGCACTTTGGGAGGCCAGCACATTCTGCCGTCATCCGGTGATAGCTCAGCTGGTAGAGCGGAGGACTGTAGTTGGGTAGCAGTAATCCTTAGGTCGGTGGTTCAAATCCGCCTCACCGGAGCTAGTTTTTGTTGAACTTTGTACCAGACCAGTTAGCTGGTAGACTGCTTAGATTTTCCTGTTTTCATGACCGTATGTGTACTGAGTGAGCATAAGGAAGGATTAGACTGTTTGACTCCACTAATGGACGTAATACTGGTCTCGGATTTAGAACCCTTAGAGTGCAAGGAGCTTGTGGGGCAAATGGAGTTTAGGAAAATGGGGAACAGTTTTGTTGCAATGATGAGATTTCAAATATCAAATGGCATTAGGAAGCCCTCTAAAAAGGGCTTAGCATTCCAATCCAATTCCTCCTATTGACATCAATCACGTTCCTCCAGTTACTTACCAGCCAACTAGTCTGGCATAAAGTTCAACCAAATCTAGCTCCAAAGATTCGGATTTAAACCACCGACGTCGGTAATATCATTCTGCCTATATCATGCGCCGCTGTGCACCTGCTGGTAGGACTCGAGAGAGAGTCCATAAGGCACAACGGAACGAGGGAGTTCCGTAAGAACGATCGGTTAGCGCCCCCTACCATTGTAGGAATAACTGTTGTACAACAACAGTTCTCCGATCTACCGCCGGTAGAGTGTAATCACAAGACAAACTGCATTTTGGACCGCCTAACAAGCTAATTTAGTAGCTAGTACTCTGCGCAAATCTACTTCTTTTTATACTCGTCTACATCCCCCCCCCCCCCACACACACACACGTTGGATGCGGTTGTGCGGCGGGGTTGCGTACTGAGAAAAGTTTGAATTTGCGGGCTTTGCATTTCGCTTTGGCGGCAGCGATGTGGTTGGCTTCGTAGATCGCAGCGCCTGCCTTCACTGCCCTCCTCCAGGTCGGACAATCGTGTGCGATCTGCTCCCATTTGGTCGGGATGATTTGCAGACGCTTCAGGTTATCCATGTAACGGCGAATTTGGCCTCCTTGACTGCGAGAACCCGTCGCGACGTCTCCGTAGAAGAGTCGTTTGGGTAGTCGCTTGTCGTCCATGCGCACCAGGTGGTCGCTCCATCGCAGCTGCATTTGTCTCAGTATGGCAGAGATGCTGAGAATCCCGTTCGTTCCAGCACATCGGCGTCGGGGATTCGATCCTGCCAGTTCAGCCTCAGGATGCGGCGGAGACAACTGAGGTGGAATTAGTTCAAACGGCGTGTCTGCCTCGTGTACACCGTCCAAGTCTCCGCTCCATACAGAAGGTTCGCAGGATGACTGCCTTGTACATCTTCAGCTTTGTGCTTAGTTGAAGACCATGGCGATTACAAACTGTGCTTTGGAGGCGACCGAAGGCTTGACTGGCTTTCGAGATCCTGTTGGCGACTTCGTCGTCGATCTTGGTGTTGCGGGAAAGAGTACTGCCCAGGTACGCGAAGTTATCCACCACTTGCAGTTGGGTTCCGTTCACGCTGATTTGCGGCGGCGCGTTGGGGGCTGTGGCTGAGTTGGGTGGCGTTTGGTGCATCATCACCGTCTTCTGCGTGTTAATGACCACACCGAATTTCTCGTAGGCGGTGAAGAATATGTCCATGCTTCGTTGCATCTCCGGTTTGGAGGTGGTGTTCAGGGCTCAGTCGTCGGCGAAGAGAAGTTCGTGGACGGTGGTTGTAGATACGCGCGATTGGAAGTTCATGCGCCGTTGATTCAGCAGATGACCGTCCGTTCTGTAGGCGATGCGGATTCCAGGGCGTTCGTAGCGGTAGGCGTGCATCAGCATGGCAGAGAACATAAGACTGAAGAGGGTTGGTACCAGCACGTATCCCTGCTTAACTCCGTTGGTCACTGGGAATGCCTCTGAGACAGCTCCGTTGTCCGTGACTCGCGCCATCATACCGTCGTGCTGCTGACGCACCATCTGAGTGAATCGCTCCGGGCAGCCGAATTTCTGCATGATCTTCCACAGTCCTTCACGATTCACCGTGTCGAAGGATTTCGTCAGGTCCACGAGGGTAGCGTACAGATGGGTCCGCATCTCCTGACACTTCTCCTGAAGTTGACGGGTGGCTAAGATCATATCCGTGGTCCCACGATGACGACGGAAGCCGCATTGACTTTTCGACAGAAGTCTCTGTTCGAGATGGTTATTGAGGCGGTTGAGCAGGATTCGAGCGAAGATATTCCCGGCGATGTTTAGCAAGGAGATGCCACGGTAATTGTCGCAGACTTGGCGATTCCCTTTGCGCTTGTAGAGATGCACGATGGTTGCGTCTTTGAAATCTAGCGGGACTTCACCTTGACGCCACATCTCTTGGAAGAGCGCAGTCGGGTGATCCATCAGTAGGGGACCTCCGTGCTTGTAGACCTCAGCAGGGATTGCGTCCGATGCGGGTGCTTTCCCGCTGGAGAGCTGCTGTACGGCCCTGATGGTCTCCTGGAGAGATGGCGGGAGGTCGAGGTCCACGTTGGTCTCCACTTGCGGCAAACGCTCGATGGCGGCGTCAGAGATGACGGAAGGGCGGTTGAGGACGCCCCGGAAATGCTCGGTCCATCGCTGTAGGATTTGCGTCTTCTCAGTCAGGAGAGTACTGCCGTCGGCGCTGAGGAGAGGAGCAGTGCCCTTCGTCGGTTTTACCGTAGACAGATTTGATCGCAGAGACCAAATTCTTCCATTCGTTGCGGTCCGCGTAGCCTTGGATCTCCTCAGCTTTGCAAGCAGTCCAGATGTCCTGCATCTCGCGCAGTCGTTGCTGAAGCTGTCGGCGACTGCGGTAGAAGGCAGCTTTGTTGTCCTCAGTAGGGTGATCTACGTAGGCTTTGTGTAGGCGGTTCTTCTCAGCAAGCAGATTTCTGATGTCGGCGTCGTTGTCGTCTAACCAGTCCTAGTGTACGTCGAAAATATATGGCTTGTAGTTTTGAAACCCTGATTCCGAGTGTAAAGGTAGAGCGGGTTAAAATTATTCGGGAATTGATAAACTTTTTTAAATTCTATTTCTATAGAGTTTAAAATGCAGAATGTATTTCCAGAGAGCTTAACCACGAAAACTTCGCACACAAATTCTATGGAACTGCAAATCACGTGGCCACTTCTCCCATGGTCCACAAATTTTGGAAGGGGACTCAGCGGTTTTGCCACCTACGTTTAGCTTAACCCCATTGTACTATTAATAAACATGGTAGTTTGCGCCGTTTCGTGGCAAAAAAATTATGAGTAGGGAAGAAGACCGATAAATCCCCCGAACTGTTCCCTTAACATCCTGGGAGTTCAATCAAGTGGGCTGCGGCTTGCTGAATTCGGAAATTAGATAATCCTTCTGGCAGTGTTTAAAGTTACTGTGATGTATTTTTCCGAAATTTGTGACGTCATCGTAGCCTAGTTTTCGTTT